TGTTCTCCCTAAATTGCAAAATTGCCCAAGCTGGGTTCGAACTTAGCATTCTCCTACTTCAGCCTCCCAAAGTACTGGCATTCTGAATTGCTTTTAAAGTATAGGTAAGAGACTGTTTTCTCTACAAAAATACTGTGCTAGAAAGGAAATCTGGGGGCCAGGGAGATGGCTCAGTAGAATAAGCGCTTGTTTGGCAAGTGGAAGGGCTTGAGTTCAACCCCCAGTTCTGAAAAAAAAGAAAGGAAATCTGCACTGGTACTTAATCAGAGCGAGGAGGACCTTTGTGGAAGGGTTAGAAGGGTCTTTGCAGAAGTAGACAAAAACAACTGACATGTAATACCTATGTGTTACTGAGTAAGGCAGAGCCAGGGCCTGGTTCCTGGTGCATTGGAAATGATATGATAACCAATTTAGATGATTAGAAGATAATACGTGCCTGCCTTTTTAGAGTGGTTCTTAAGATGGTCTCAGTTTCCAAATAATTTAATAAACCATAACTTCTAATGGACTACAGGAGCTGTGGACTTGAGGTGAGGTTGCATTTCTTAGAAATCCACTACTTCAAATGTACAACACTGTAGCATTTCTGAGCACCTTTGGTTTCTGGTGTAACTTAACTTAGCTCTGTTCACCTTTAATGGACCACTGCTAGGTTCTCAGTAGGAAGTGATACTGGAGTAAGGCAAATATCATTCTCTTCTGCCAGTGTAGATGCATTGCATTTGTCTCGGTAGATATTTGTTCTTCCCTTCACGGGAGAAAAAAATAGATTTTATGTGGTCAAATGTGAGGCATTAATTACAGTTACTAAAGCTGCTGGGTTAAAGTAGGGCCAGTCTGTAAATACACATTTCATATTCCAAATCATTGAATTATTTTTAAAATTAGGTTTTTGGTTTTTTTAGAAATTTTTATTTTATTCCATGTCTCAAGCACTATAGAATTCTAGTAATTCTGTTTTACTATGAAAGGCATTGTCCTGAGGGAAGGTGTTGGCGTGTGAGATCTTTGGCAAGAGGATCTGCCCTTCCAGGTGCTGTCTGGATTGCCCCCTTTCCCGAGGATGTAATTTTCTTTTCTCAAAATAACCCTTCTGATTTGGTTCTGACACTTGTAAGGCTTTTTGTTATTAAGAAAGCAAATTTTGGGGCTGGAGAGATGGCTCAGTGGTCTAAAGCACCTACTTGGAACAAGCTTGGCAAAACATCAGGGACTGCGGTTCAATCCCCCAGCACCACATGCCGGCCAGCCGCGCCCCCTGGTGGGCTGAGCCGGCCACACACACACACACACGAACACACACACACTAAATAAATGTTAAAAAAAAAAATTTAAAAAAAAAAAAAAGAAAGCAATTTTTTTTAAAAAAATAACGTAAGTTGTCATACTCCTGCAGCCATTAAACTTGACATTGCAGAATATTTAATGCCATCAACAAATATTCACAATATATTTTACCTGGAGAATGGAGAGCAAAGGTTCTAAGACATCCTATGGAATAGGATCCCAGCGTTGACTTTAAAACCAAGCCTTAAAGCTACATGGTGGATGCCATGATTGTTTCAGGGCTATGGGTTGGTGGCTGGCTTATATTTTCCACGTTAGTGTGTTCCAGTGTGAGGTTGGGGTGGGATGCAGGAGCTGCTGGGAACTTGGCCTCCGCCGCAAGAGAAGCCATCATAGAGCAGAGCAGCCAGGCCGGGGGCCGAGCGCACGAGGGCCGGGAGAGGGCGCTGTGTGCTCTGCAGCGGGGCGCAGGCCTGCCGGGAGTGCTTATTCAGATTTTTTTCCCCCCATAATTTAAATGATAGACAAATAGCAATGAGACAGTTTCAAATCAAATTGGTAGGACAGTTTCAATAATTAACACATTGCATACATTCTCCCTAGTGGTTAATTGCTGTACAAGATACAGATAAGATATCCTATTTACAAACACCATTAAGAACAAATCTGATTCAGATTTTAAAGCCAGCCTTCCCTTAGCCAGAGGTGACTGGGAATTGTAGAAAGGTCCGCCTTCCTCGAAAGCATTCACTGCCATCTGCTGGGAAGGAATGGTAATAACCAGACAAAGCTTGGAAGAGTGCGAGGCCAAGCCTGGATTTGGGTAGCACATACCCAGCTGGAGCACCGTGCTGTGAAGGCCCAGCTCTGTCCTCTGACCTAAGCTCTGGTGTGGGTCTGGAAATCTTACTTATCTTTATTTTACTTTATTTATTTATTTTTTTTTGCAGTCTTGGAGATTGAACTTAGGTTACTGAGAAACATCCTCAGACCTTTAAAAGAAAATTTAAAAAAAATATATTTTAAACAGGGTCTGAGTCAAGTTGCCCAGGTTGACCTCGAACTTGTGATCCTCTTGCCTCAGCCTTCCAGAGTGCTGGTATTACAGTTGTGTGCCACCACCCAGGGCTGGAAACTTCATCTTTTATATTGTTTTTAATCATATATTATTGTAGAAGAGTCCAAATATGCACAAAAGTAGACAGTAGTGTGTAATTCTTCATATTACCACACCCAGCTCCCGTAATGTTTGGCTTTTGGTGAAATTCTTTTGCGTCTGTCTCCCATAATATTTTTGATATACTATCTTACAACAAATATCAGATTTTTGTATGCTTTTGCTTGTTTATTTGCATATATATCTAACTTGTTTTGGGTTAGGAGTTTTAAAAAATACTATTATCACACCCAAAAGTATGAATTTTTTTTTTTTTTTTTTTTTTTTTGGTGGAAGCAGGGATTGAACTCAGGCCCTTGCGCTTTCCAGGGAAGCACTTATTCTACTGAGCCATCTCCCCAGCCCCCCATACTTTTTTAAAGCTCCAAGTGTTCTTGAAAGTAAGTCAGGTTTTCAAACAGCTTTGCAGAAGAGGAAATAGCAAAGGCCAGGGGAAGCTCGCCCACAGCTTCTGGGAAGAGTTTGGAGCTGTGCTGGCACAGAGATTTTGTTGGGTTCTCTGGGTGGGTGAGTGCAACCGGCTCTGCTGTTCACCGTGGCATTTCCCTCCCTCCCTGGCTGTCAGGGCATTTCCTGAACTGTGGGATTCTAGCTTCCTCTTTGGCCATGAGTGGGTCCCAGGTATTGGGCTAGTCTCATGGATCTCCCTAACATTCCAATCTTCCTTGTTTTTCTGCCGTTTAAGACTACTGAAGAGGATTAAAAGCCCACTTTCTGTCTAGTTCAGAGATCCATGTCAAAGCCAGTGTGCCTCTGCTCCTAACTTTCCGTGCTCAGGACCAGGAGTACCCAGTCTGGTGGAGAGGTCGATGGTAGTCACATGCAGTAAAGCTCAAAGAAATGCACAGCCCAAGTGGAAATGGTGGTCCAAAGGGAAGGCAGAACCTCCCTGAGAATCTCGTTGTTGGGGTTCTCTTTGGAATCTAAGGCAGTGTATTTTCTTTAGGGGGATTTCTTTATCTAAAGTTCTCAAGTGTACAAGAGCTAATGTTTTAGTGGCCTATTTTACTGGAGCAAGAATAGATCTGATGATGTCACTTTCAGCCTTTCACGAACTGGCATAATGTGTTCTGCAGTAACATCTGCGTGTGTTCCTCCCCCTAACCCCAGAGGAGGGATTGCACCCAATAATGAGCTACCACTGGGATATATCCCAACCCCCACTTTTTGAGACAGGGTCTCTCTCAGCGCCCCAGGCTGGCCTCAAACTCAAAATCCTCCTGCCTAAACCTCCTGAGGAGCTGGGTCCTCTCCTGTTTTAAAAGACGACTATCAGTGAGATGAAAGTCTGACAGAGGTATAAAAACACACAAGACTGCCTGCTAGTATTCAGGAACCAAGGGAGAGGATGAATTCTGTGCAACTCCTTCCTGTCTGAAAACAGTTATTGAGTACCCCACACATGAATCCAGCCCGTCCAGTGCAGGGGCCTGGTCTGTGAAATGGCCCGAGCTCCTGATCTGTGGTTCCCAATGTGAGGCAGCATCAGTTTCACCAGGGAACTTGCTAGAAATGCAAATTTGTCATGTCTCTAGGCCCTACTGATCCCTTTGAACAATCTCTTGTGATGCAAGCTAAAGTTTGAGAATGGTTCTATTCTGTGGCAGTCTTACATATGGTACAGATGGTTCAAAGCTGGGATCTGGCCTAGCAGAGAGGTGCAAATAAAATCTTTTGTCCACTTGGCTCTTGTTTTGACAATGCTTGCTAGCCGGAAGCTGGCCTGTTTCCCAGTGGGGCTGGGCTCTGGGCTTTGTCCTTGCCTGGTGTTCAGGGCAGACTGTGCCTGTTCTTCTCATTGGCTGCACTCCCTCTAATCTTCTGGGAAGCTGGACTCTTCTCTGCTTTTGTTACTCTACTGATTTGAGCTGTGGCTGCAGAGAAAAGTAACAGGATTGTGGGGCTGGGGATGTAGCTCAGTGGCCCAGCACCTGCCTGGAAGAACAAGGTCCTGAGTTTGATTCCTTGTACAGAAGAGAGAGAGAGAGAGAGAGAGAGAGAGAGAGAGAGAGAGAGAGAGAGAGAGATCTGTTACAAATATAAATACAGATAAATACAGATATTTATATCTCCTAAACATATTGGACCAGGGCCAGATAACAAAGGTTTTATTAGTAAGTTCTGGGAAGATTTTATGTTTGAAGGCCATTCAATCCAAATGCCTCCTAAACCCTTGGCAGCCCTACCCCGGGGCTTTTCTTCTTTTACAAAAAACCACATCTGAGAAGCAGGCCCTGCCCCAGTGCAGGGGCTGCAGGGAGGGAGAGGGTGGCAAAGTGAAGCAGCACATTTTTTGTCCTGCAATGAACCAGCCAACCATGCAATGACAAGCAGAAACACCTAGGATTTGGAGGCAGATTTACTTACATCATCAGGCACTTATCGGGATCAGTCCCAGAATATCAGGCCCTGATCTCTAGTGATCTAGGACTTATGGGGCATCAGCAAGCAGGAAATACAGAGGGAGGATGGCGTGTCAGGTGGGGGCTGGTTTATGCGATGTGAATCGTAGTGAGTAGCTATGCATCGCAGTAACCAGCTGTTTCTAAGAGACAGGAGAAACCAGGTCTGAAACAAGAACTATCACTGGGGCAAGTAGCAAACTGAAGTATACTGGCTGGGCATCCCTGAGACGGGAATGATGTTCGCAGGAGGCTGTTGTTTTGTCCCCAGGTGTGCACTTGTATTACGTGGGGGGAGAGGTGTACGCTGAGTGCGTGAGTGACAGCAGCATCTTCGTGCAGAGCCGGAACTGCAACTATCAGCACGGCTTCCACCCGGCCACGGTCTGCAAGATCCCCAGCGGCTGCAGCCTCAAGGTCTTTAACAACCAGCTCTTCGCCCAGCTGCTTGCCCAGTCGGTTCACCACGGCTTTGAAGTCGTCTATGAGCTAACTAAGATGTGCACCATCCGCATGAGTTTCGTTAAGGTAGGAAGTCTTGCTTTCAGGTGATGAAACAGAACACAGAAAGCAAAACAGAATGTGAAAGCACTTCTGGCTGGTCGGGCAGGGTGCAGCCAGACAGCAGTCCTTTCATCGGCATTCTGTTAATACCTGTTAGGAAGAGCTGTGAGCATGGCTGTCGTGTGCAGCACCGTAGAGAAATCCACAAGAATTTTACTTTTAGAAGAGAGACAAGCTAAAGGAGCTGTCACATTGTTTTGAATCCAGAAGGGAAAGTGACAGTCATGATTTCATAAGATTAAATGCTACAGAGATTTTTCCCCCTCCCTGGCATTGCCAAGTGCTGCTATTACTCGGTAAATGTTGGTCAATTTACTTTAATTAAATAAGAAATTCTCCTCACTCTTAGGCAGCATATGGACAAATGGAGGTAAATTGATAGATTAAGCTACCAAAGAGACCCGGCTCTAATAGAAGACAGGATAAATTGCAGGTATAAGCAAACTTGGGCAGAAGCCTTGAGCTGTGTGTGATCAGTCCCAAGAAAGTAGACGTCTGTTCAAGTAATGAGTGTTTGTTGAGTTCCTCAACCAACATGGCTGTGAAGGTTGGGAAACTGGACAGGCTATTTAGTAAGGAGGAAAAATAGCTGGATTTGCCCATTGGGGCTAAAGGCCACATTTTGTCACTTGTTATTTAATTTGTCACAAGATGTTAACAAATCGTTTGAATACTCTACTACAGGAACTTGTTCATCAGCCTACGTGAGTGTGAGTCACACCATTTTCGCAGGGCACCTCTCCATCTGAGGGAGCGCTCTGGCTAGCTCCAGGGTTTTCAAAGTAAATTTTGTTAGTTCTTTAAGGTCACCATGACAGATTGTCCTATTTTACTATACTCAAAGCATATCTTTATTGTATTTAAAATTGTTTGAGGCCAACTGGGTCAACCAAGGTCTTATCTACGTCAGGCAAAGATTCTGTTTCTTAGCTTTTTTCTCCTCAGTCCTTATGTCCTTGCAAAATAAGAATGGATAATCCATATAGTTTCTAATTTTTACACTGATTTCTCCTCCTCCTCCTCCTCCTTCTTTTTTTTTTTTTTTTTTACAGGGTCTCAATTTGTAGTTCAGGCTGGCCTTGAACTCTTTATGTTGAAGGCCAAGTTGGCCTCAAACTCATGGTGATCTTCCTGCCTCAGTCCCCCAACTGTTGGAATTACGAGTGTTCTCCACCAAGCCCAGCTATGCTGGTTTCTTGAAACCATTTTTCTTTCCTGATGGTGAAGCAGTTTTATTTAACCTCACCATTTTAATAGTGTTTTAATCTAGAGGCGATTAGCAAATGCCAAGAATTTTTTTCATATGCTTTGTTGCTTTAGAGCCAGCAGAAGGCATTAAGTTGCTCTTTCTTTTTTATGTGATACAGGGTCTACAGGGTCTCACTACGTAGATCAGACTCATAGTGATTCTCCTGTTTTCAGACTCCTAAGTGCTGGGGTTATAGCCGCGTAGCACCACACCCAGTCTCAATCGCCATCTCAGCGCGCCCCGGGGACTGGGCTGGCATGACGAGCCCGGGATTGAACACCAGCTGCTGTGCTCTGCCTAAGCAGGTGCTCTAGTCCCGTGAGCTATCTGGCTGGCTCTTAAGTTGCTCTTAATAAATAATTGTTTGAATCCTATAGTTATTTTTCCGAGATCTGTGTTTTTAAAATGAAGAAATGCCAACATCTTGTAGGTATTTCATTAAGATGACAGCTGACATGAATCTGATCATCTAGATGTAGCATTTAAATTTGTGAAGCTACACAATTCACAGAGAAGTAAGCTTTTAGCTGGTATTGCAGAGATTGATAAATTAGTGACTATAAATATAGATGATTGCCTTGAAGTTATAGATGACTGAAGGCTGGTGAGAGTGATGGACTAGACCTGCTGTAAGGGCTCCTTCAGCTCGAGTTTTTACTGATCCTAAGACTCTAGTTAGTCAACAGGTATTTCTTGAGCACAGGCCATCTGCCAGGCCAGGCAGTATTTGTAAGTATTGAGATCCATTGGATAATTACCCTTATCTCCTTTTCTTTCTCCAAGAAGTGAGAAAATGTAGACTGAGGTAGGATTCAGGGGTGCTGGGCAGGGGAAGGCTGTAAGCTGAAAGGGACCTCAGGGAGGAGGAGATGGATCAGCAGAGATTGAAGGTGAGTGCTAGCTGTGGGACTCTAGGGACTCAGTGCAGGTTGAGAGGAGAGCAAGCACAGAGCCTCAGGGCAAGAGCAAGCTAGAGCTCTGCAGGGAGAAGCAGGCATTCTGACCGCATCCCAGAGAGGTGATGAGATGGCGCGAGAGCTGTGCAGGGAGTTTCCTGAAAAGAGGCTGTGAGGCTTCACAGGGATTTCAGCAGATGTGTTTTGTGGTATGACACATGTTTGGAAAGGCCCACTCTGGCAGAGCGGGCATTATGCAGGTAAGGTGAGAAGTAGGGAGGACAGTGAGGAGGCGGTGGGGTTGACGTGTTCAGGTGAGGGGTGATGAGTCCCCCATCAGGAGAGCTCCGCAGGAAGCTGTGAGAAGGGAAAGACTCCCAGGTGTGAAGGCAAATTTGATCAAGGTTCAAGGAAAAGAGGTTTAGAAAAATGGAATTAGTTGCCTTGAGCCATGATGGAAGATGGTAGTGGGTCAGGATTAGAGATAGAACCAAGCTCGGAAGCTTTGGGATATCTGTCACATATTCAGATGGAGGTGCTGAGTGTAGTTAGATGAGTCTGCTTGGGAGAAAGGTTGCTACTGGCTGTGCAAAGTAAGTATCACTGCTTGTGGATGATATTTAACTCCATGTCCTGGATGACTTTGGTTTGGGTTTAAAAGAGGAGTAGGGCACCTAGGACCGAGTCCAGGACACGTAAACATTGAAGTTGAGGGAAAAGAGAAGTAGCCAGCAAAGAGAACTGTGGGAGACCAACCAGCGAAACAACAGTAAGATTAACTTTAATAATGGATAAGTGGATTCATACGTCTAATTATGCATTTGATGGATGGACCTGCTTATATGGAAACACAGATAATTTATGGTGAAAGCTGGATAGGCTGAGTATGTAGGTGGAGGTGCCATGGAAACTGTCCTTTCTAATGGCTCCATTTTTCTTATGAAAACAAAAAGATCCTCCATTGCTCATGTGTGATGGGGGAAGAGGTGTGAGAGACTTTTGTGGAGAGGCACATCAGCAGGAAGGGCAGTGAGGCCCGAGGAGAGCAGTGAGGCTGCCAGGTGGCACTGGAGGTCCATGTAGGCATAATTCAGGAAAGGAAAGTGTGGCCAGGCAGCACAGTTCTGCTGAAACCCAGTTTTAAACATCTCTCCCAAGGATCACTGTTCCCAGTAGCAACACTAACTTATTTTGATGTGATCTGTTATTTCCAAATAATCTCCCACTGATGCGTCACATGTAATAAGTATACAAATTTATTTATTTGCTTTCTCTCTTCTATGGCTAGTGATAAGTGGGAAATTGTAAAAAGAGAAGAGAAATAAGCTTTGATAATCCACCCAGGAAGTCGAGAGTGCCCTCCAGTTTCTCGTCCACAGCTTTCAGTTCCAATCCCTGGTCTGTCACGAGGAACGATTTTGGGCAGGATGCCGTCTTCATCCTGAAGGGGCTGTCTGGGTGTGTGGGCTCTGTGTGCCCCACTCCATCTGGCAGCTCTGCACCATTAGGTGGCAAATCACTCTACACTCCATTCTTGCTTTTCAGGGCTGGGGAGCTGAGTACCATCGCCAGGATGTCACGAGCACCCCGTGCTGGATCGAGATTCACCTTCACGGACCCCTGCAGTGGTTGGACAAAGTCCTGACTCAGATGGGCTCTCCACACAACCCTATTTCTTCAGTGTCTTAACATCCATGTCTTCAGCTTCATTTCTCTAGGATAGATGCTGTCACAAGCGGTTGCTCATATCATTTCAGATTCACAGCTAGCTGAGGTTTCTAAGTAGCTGTGTAAATACATATAATGGATATGGTTCATATTTTTTTATCACCATTTGTTTTATGCTACCTAATTAACCTGGGGCCAGTACAGAGTGCTTGGGAAGGCAGGATTTTCAAGGTTATGCTGCATAATAAGCCTCTTCTTTTGTGGACAGAAATCGATGAAAGGCGACAGTGTAAATGGTACGTGAAAGGTGCTGGTCGAGTGAAAGGTGCTCCAGTGGGCAAGTCCCATCCAGCATGTGTGGCCAGGCAGAAATGCAGAAGCTTTATGTTGTAAAACACAGGCATTGGCAGCACTAGAGCAAACAATGCTTTTGCACAAAGTTAAGCAGTCAAATCCATACAGTTTAAATGATGTCACTTCTAGTGCTACTGGCGGAGGGTGGCGTGAGATCAAGCTTCTACAACGAATTATATGAGATAAATCACAGGAACTTTATTTCTGAGTTTGAACTCCATGCTCTGTCATTGAACTGCTGTGCTATTTTCAATGGTACATTTAAAACAAACATACTGTGATTGGAGAAGAAAGAAACTGTGAAGCCAGGGGTCGTGTTGCCTCAATCTACCAGTGCAAAAGTGAGTCTAACAAGGGCAAGCACATGTGAAAATAGAATGACATGAGCTATCATCCCAAAGGATAAGGTCAATTCAGAATTTAGTCCCCGAGTCACCCAGGAGGTTCCTGCGGGTTCTGTTCTTTGTGGTCATCTTGTTAGGCAACCTGCGGTCTGAGTCCTGTGTGGGGAGGAAGTGGGGATGGAGAAGGGCTGAACAAGCACGGACCCGTGCCTCCTTGCACTCCGTGCCTCCTTGCACTCCGGCTCTCACGCTCGTCAGGGCAACCCCCTGCACACGTTTTCTTGTCTGTTGGTGAGCATTAGCTGTTTACAGGTTATTAAAACAATAATAAGGCCTTTGGGAAAATTTAGACACACTGTTTGATCAAATTTATCCATTAATTAACGATATCTGTATTGGTGAAATTATCAACTGGTTACACCAGGTAGCCTTTTTAAAGCTAAAGTCTCCAACATGGAAATAACTCCTGAAATGAAATGAAAATAATTTCATGCTCCCTATAGTATGAAAGAAAAGTGGTACTGAACAAAGGGTGTCTTTAAAAAAATACATATTAAAAAGCCATTCTATTTTTCTGTGGATGAAAAGGTCTAGGTCTTTGCCATCCATTAGACCCTACATTGCTTGAAAAGATATTTCATACCCTCTTAAAAATGTGTGATTAACATAAAAGTTATTCTAACAGCCAGTACTTCAGCAATCCAAGAGGCTTCTTCATGTATACTCTCTGTCTAGCCTTAGTGCACACGTAGTTATTTCTCATCAAACTATATTCAAGTTAGAAAGGGTCATGTGAAAAAGATAAATGAGGGAGCTACTACTGTCACCTCTGGTGACTAATGTTCTCTAATAGAAACTTTCAGATATATAATAGAAAGTCTTTCTTTTTATATTAAAAAAGGCAGCCCACTTAGTGTTTAGGAAAACACCATAGTTTCCTGGTTTGTCTGCTATGTGTTGTGTGGTTACAATGTTAGGTACTATGGGGTCAAATGGAAATGAGACTGTCCCAGCTCTCACTGAGAAAAGCCTAACAGGGAGCCTGGTTTTATAGACATCCTTGTGTGTTGCAACATTGAAAACAAAACATGCCGACTTTCTTATACTTGAAAAAATGTCATTGATTTTTAAGCATCTCTGTTTTTAAGTTTTATCTCCCTTCTGTTCTGAGCAGCCAAGTAATGGATCCCTGAGATGAATGCTACTTCTCTCTCATGTCTTAGACTTTGTTTTCCCCCCATAGTTGCTTGTTCATTTTCTAATAATTACTGTCTCTGCTTTTCTTGCAGAAGTCATTAATATGGTGAGCCTCAAATGAGTACCATTACCAAACTCATAATGAGTACCATTGAGTTTCAGAGACACATAGCGTTTACTCCAGAGACCAAAAGCAGCCTATTGATCCTTTTTACAAGCTGTCAAACTCATCCTCTGGTAGTCTTACACCTTCATAGAATCAGTTAGAAGTAGTGGCTTATAAATGACATTTAAAACAATGACATTTTAAAAAACACATGGATTTCAGCACGGCTTTAAAAGCATGAGAAAATTATGCAGTATGCCTGAATTATTTCTGTGAAAAAATATAGTATGAAATAGCATGTGTCGTTATCACCAATCACACCCACCAAAACTCCTTTCTAGAATGCCTGTGAAATTTGGGGACTTCACAGATGCTGACAAATAAACCTCCTGGTGGTTGTAAATACCCACTTTTTTCTCCCAAGACTGGGAATGAGAGGCTGTCATGGAGCTGTACCCCCAGCCCGTATGCATGCACTTGAGTCAGCCTTTGTTTTTTTTTTTTTTTTTGCTGCTAAAAGTTCTCAAAGATTGTAATGCAGGATTTGATTTCAGATGTTGAAGTGTGGTCACTCGGGGCATTCATTCCATGAGGTAGCGAGCCGAAAACTTGAATAGCAGCCTTTCACAGGATGACAAGCAGAGGGGACCGGGTAGGCCATTAAGTGCTCAGTGCTGCTAATGTGTTTCAGGTTGCCACGAGAACCGTGGAACCAAGAGCAGCTACGTTTTGGCCTACTCACAAGACCCAGGACATTGCTCATGTTGTTCAAGCCAGTATTTTTTTTTTTTGAGTATTACAAAATGAGATGTGAAAATTTTGTCTTAGATGACATGTTAATAGCTGCTAGTGCTTTGCAACCAAAACAATGTCACTTTTTAAAACATACTTTTGTGTTTTGTTTTTATATTCAGTATAAATCAGGAAAAGTTAGCCAATTCCCTAGGCTTTAGAATCTCCTTTTTATTGTCTTCTAAGGATATGAATATCCCATAACAGCAACAAAACATCAATAACAAAAGCGTTCCACAGTATCACTTGCGCCTGAAGCTCCTGCTTCACTTTGTTTGTCTCACATATGCGGCATGTATACTCAATAAGCAAGTAACCTATAACATGCATTCCAGATTGCCTTGCCCATCACGATTTACCAGCTGGACTGTCCGAGGTTAGGTGACCCTGTCCTTTGTTAAAGATAAATTCAAGTGAATGTAAAACACACGAACAAAAAGCAGAACCTGTTTGAATGAAGTAATGCTTTTGATGAAGTAACCTTGGCTTCAGTTATCCCTCAAATGCACACTTACACTGTATTCTCTTGTTTATAATAAAGAATTCTGTACTGAGATGTGTTGGCTCATTTTTCCTTCAAACTTCATAGAAGGAGTCACTGTCAGTGGATCTGCAGCTCCTCACCACAGTTAATCTCAAACCATTACAATTCGAAAATAGGACATTTAAAAAACTAATCCTATGGAGAAAGGGACTGGTGATTTTGAATTAAATACCTTGCAGAAATTTCAGAGAGAATATAGAAATGCTTTTCCATTTACAGCCTTTATAAAACTCTTGTAAGTGGAAATTGTAGTAAATCAAGAAGGTATTAAGTACACCACGCCCACCATCCAATCCTACCTGAGCAACCCCGTACACTAGAGTGCTAGCTGGTTCCACTGTTACCCAGCGGTGGAGGGGGAGCTGCTGCTCACTGCCACGCCCGACGGATTGGGAAAAGAACACAGTTGAAAATTCAAACTGTGCTGTTTATAGATTACATATATTGGAAGAAATGTAAATTTAAAAATTCTGAGTCAAATTATTGTAAGACAGGGACCATCTGTACATTGAAGCATTTTTCTGTGTAATAATATAAAATGATGTTGCAATATAGAGAAATCACTAGTTTTATTATTGTAAACATCTATATTTTGTACATGTTGCCCATTAAAAAGGAGCTAAAAGAAGGCAACTGAGAAAATCGAAAATGAAATCTGTGGTAAATATGAACATATTTAAAACTTTAAAGTTATCTAAAACTTTAAAGTTATTTCTAGTCTTTATATATGGAGGAAAATCTGAATATTTATAGAAAATTGAATTTTTTAATGAACTTGGTCTTTTTTTTTTTTTTTTTAAGGAATGGATCTCTTTATGCAAAGGAAGTATTTTATGAAACTCCAAAATAGAAATGGTTGAAAGATAAACTATTGAGGCCAGCTGTTTGTGGATCACAAAACTTCTGGCTTAAATTTCCACAGGGCTGGAGATATACCTCAGTGGCTGAGCTCCTGCTGGCATGTGCAGAGCTTTCGATTGAGTCCCCAGCACCAGGAAACAAGAGGGTGAGAGAGGCCGGGGAGATGGCTCAGTAGAATATGCGCTTCCCTGGCAAGCATAAGGGCCTGAGTTCAATCCCTGGTTGGGGGGGGGGAAGAAAGGGAGAGAGAGAGAGGGGCCAGGAGATAGCTCAGAGGTGCCATACCTGTTTGGCAACTGTGAGGGCCTGAGTTTGATTCCCAGTACAAAAAGAAAAAAGGAAGAGGAGAAAAAGACTAGTGGAGTAAGTCTCGACACCAGAGGCACCCTGTTTGCCTCCTCCTCTCCCATGGTTCCTAAGTCCATTCCTTCATGTAATATTTGGTTTTGGCATTTCAAACAGTGATTTGTACACATTTTAAATATATCACAAGAAAGGCATAAGATTCCAGTTTTAGACACTGGCTTATCTAACAGAAGTAATATTTTTATCACCTCTGAAATATTGACACCTTCATCTGATAGTTCTTAGGTATCAACAAGCACTATAGACAAAATGATGGCAGCATTTATGCCTTAAGATAGCCAGGTTGTAAAGCAAGACACCTGATAAACCAGTGAAGTTTGTTTGTTGTCACTTGTGGTAGTCTGTGGGGAGAGGAGAGAGGACAGACATGTTCACTGGGCTCTGGGTGGGACAGGGCAAGATTCTGGGCAGATCAAACTTGCCTTTCTTCTGTCAGCTCCCTTAGCAATCAGACCAGGTACGCCTACCCCAGGTTAGGCCTCCCATAGCAGTTTGGGCCCACCACTTGCCAGTTACCATTCCTGGCACCACTTTGTTTCTCTCTCTCTCTCTGTCTCTGTCTGTCTGTCTGTCTGTCTCTTTTTTCTGCTCTCTCTGTGTCTGTGTTTCTCTGTGTCTCTCTCTGTCTCTGTCTCTGTCTCTGCCTCTCTGTCTCTGTCTCTGTCTCTGTCTCTCTCTCTCTCATATTTAGGACAGGGTGTACAGAGTCTCACTGTGTAGGTCGGACTTGTAATGATTTTCCTGTTTTCAGCCCCCCAAGTGCTGGGATTATGCCCAGTCTCAGTCTCTCATCGCACCCTGGGGATGGGGCAGGCATGGCAGGCCAAGGGATTGAACTCCCACCCCCTGCATCTGGCTAAGCAGTGCTTTAATCCACTGAGCTATTTGCCTGGCCCTATGCATCTCTTTAAGGGCATAAATTGTATCTACTCCCTTTCAGCATGTTCCAGGTTTTGTTTGTTTACAGTGGCATTGGGGGTTCACACTGTAAATCAGAAATAGTATTTGTTTATATTTTCCATTCAAAAATCTGTAAATATTTAGTTTCTTCCCTTCAAAAATAATAATTTCAAGTCTCCAGTTGCATGCTAAGTGACCATGAGCAGCTGGTGGGTCTCAGAGAAGCATGCTGGCAATTCGGTTTGCATATAGCTATTCAGCTGCAAACTTAGACAGTGAAAATTAAAAGTGGTTTAATTTTAAGCATGTAGGGCCAGGTGAGAGAGCTCAGTTGTCTGTAGTGCCTGCTTAGGCAAGCTTAGGCAGGCTCAGGGGTCCTTGGTTCAATCCCCCAGCACCACAGGCCATGCCAGCCCTGCCCTCAGGGTGGGCTGGTGGGGGGCAGGATTTTAAGTATGTATTCTCAAATGTAGGATTTGGTAAACATTAGAAGCATAAGGAGTTCTGACATCGTATCACCAAATTAATAAGAAGGCCTGAACTCTAAAAGCTTGCTCCTGCATTGTCACGCACGGCTCTGTAGTTAGCATGCACCTGATAAAATATTTTGCATCGTCTCAGTATTGCTCTAATGATATGCCACACATCTGTCGTGTGCTACTCGTAGTGAAAGCTAGCAGGACAGGGTGCCCTTCTTCCTATTTAGAGACACACCTAAAAGTTAACCCAAATGACCTCCCTGCCATCAGGCACAATTTCAGGAGCTCCTGACAATGATGTTGTAACACGTTGTTTATTCTGATATCATGACAGCTTATCCCTTCTTGCACATGTAGTTTCCAGGCTAAGATCATATCATTTCATAATTCATCTGGTAACAAATCTAGTTTTTCTTGACAACATTCACTTTAAAACGCTAAGTGCAGTACCACACTCAGTGACTGTGAAGAGTGAAGTTTATGTCAATATGAATATTTATTTATTTTTGGATTTGATTTTTTATCTTTTAAAGAGAGTACAAATTAGAATTAAAACAAAAATTTAAAGTGATACAGAATTTCACTTAACAAAGTAATATGAATGTCATAGTATTTGTTGTAATACATAGTGTTGTCTTCTAACCAGTTATTCATTTTTATTTATTTATTTATTTATTTCTCCATAATTTTATTGAGAAATAAATAGCAATGAGACAGTTTCAAATCAAATTGGTAGGACAGTTCCAATAATTAACACTTTGCATACTGCCTTCCTAGTGGTTGTTTGTTGTACAAGATGCAGAAAGGATATCCTATTTATGTATCTATTCTAACCATTTTGAATACACAGATACAAAATGCTT